GGACTAACAGTATTTTATCAGATGTCTTTGATGAAAAAAAGAGATTACTTCATTATAGGTGCTAAATTTATTTTGCAATTTGTTAATTCACAAATAAGTGCACAATAAACAGAATCCATACTAGCAAACACTTGAGTCCTGAGTAATCAAGGCAATGTTTACATTTAAATTAAATATTATAACTGTAAAGCCTATAAACCCTACTGTTTAAATAATATCAATGCAATACTATTATATAACATGTCATACAAGATTTTTATTTTTAGTGCTTTCAAATCATTTTTGACTCCTGGCGACTGCCTGAACTTGGTGAGATTTTTCAGAAGTGGTTTGCCATTGCTTCCTTTATTGAGCTGAGAGAGAGTGACTGACCCCAAGGTCACCCAGCTGGCGAAGGTGAGACTAGAACTCATGGTCTTCTGGTTTGTAGCCTAATGCCTTCACCACTACTCTAAACTGGCTCTCTTATATAAGATTACCTTAACCTTAATTAAGAAGGAATCATACAGTTGGAAATTGTTATGACTGCATCCTTGCCAGTCAACAGATTCAGCCATTAATACTCAGACATCCCCAATATGGATCTAGAGGGACGGAAGTCCTCCATCACATTCTCAAGAGATATATCCCAACCCTACCCTCTGCTGTAGTTTCTGAGGCCTTAAATTGCATCATCTCCTGTTTCACAGGGTGAAAACATTCATTGCTAGCAGTTCAGCATCATCTTCTAGCTTACTTGGAACACTGCATTTTTAAAATAATTTTGTTTTATCTTCTTTTAAAATAAAGTGTGAATTTGTTTTTCTCCAATGAGATTAAGTCACCTCTCAAGGAGGGAAGAAAGGGCTAAATCTCTAATCACATGCTTCTATACTAAATAGCTAGGAGGTACGTTACTGAAACTATTTTTCTTTTTTTAATCTTTTAATTGCCAGAAAGCATACTTAGGTTGTAAGAACCTGATCTCTCTCACACACTAGAGTGAGGGGGAAGATGTCAGTAAGGTATCCCTTGGAAGATAGGTGGTGGCTGCAGAAACTACCAAGTTGTTAACAGGGGCAGTTGTTAACAGGGGCAAGTTGTGAACATCCAGAAAGCTTCTGAGAGGAGATCTCGTTTATAATTATTCATAACTAATAAAATCAGGTAACATATAGTATAATATTTTATAAAATTGCCAGACTAAAGGCAGTTAATTCCAATTTAAATTATTTTTAATGCATCTATATTTTCCCACTTTTAAAAAGATAGAAGATGCTACATGCTATTTCAACCTTTAATAAGACTTTAGGACAATTTTATTAGGGGCTTTAACTATTTAAATTTGGTTGACTCACATGTCCAATAACAATTTGAAAAGGTGCTACAATGCAACAGGCAAACATTTATTCTGGGAAATGTGCCAGTTGCATTCCATTTTTTCTATTATTCCAGCTGTGGTAATCTAAACACTAGTCAGCCATTTATCAAGAATTTAGTACATTATAAAACTCTACTTTCTCCATATAAGCATAGTACATCTTTAATGTAGTGACTAACGGTTGACAATTATGTATCATCATTTAACTAAAAGGAGAATAGTATTGCTTCTAGAAATGCTTGGATTCAAATTTGGCATTTTGGAGAGCAAGAATCAGTGCCTATGATATTGTATTTCTGGTAAACTGAGCATCTACAATATGTATTATCATTAATTAGATCAGGGGTCCTCAACTAATTTTTGCTCATGGCCCCTTTCTGAGCCTCATTTACCTCTGTGACACCCCTCATAGTCACTGTTAGCTGGAAAAAAGTACTTTACAATCTGCACTGTTTAAAGGTATGGCCCCATAAATATATGGTATGGCCTCCGGGGGGGGGGCACATGGCCCATATTGAGAACTACTGAATTAGATCATTACTTGAAAGCTGCTGATATTGCCATGCTGAACATACACAATAATCAAACCAGGCTATAAGAAGCAGATAAATTGCTATTAATATATTTAAATAAGATTATGATGACAAGACAAAGGAAACAAGAATATGAATAAAGCCCAAATACTCTTGCATCAAAATATTAAAGCAACCTGAGCTTCCTATAAAGAAGCTACAAAATTAGTTGATAGGATTGAACAGAATGTTCAGGGCAGTAGCATTTATCTTCCATCTTCATAATGCAAGGACTACTCTTGACTTTACTAAATGCTGCTAACCAAAGTCAGTCAAAATAACGGGATACAATACTAACTAACTTGTATTAGAAGTATTCCATTTTTCTTTCATATAATAATACACACATTAAAGACACACACAGAATCATAATAGTTTACCATAAACTGGAAATTCTGTTCCTTTTCACTAGTACAATATGTTAAAAATGAAGAATGTCCTTGATGCAACATATATATTTTACCACTTGCCTTTCAAAGCTGATTACCTTTTCCATGATAAAGGAGCTTTTAAGAGCCAGCTAATTCAAAGAACATCACTTTATTCAATTTTGCAAAATGTTTCAATTTGACATCTACAGATTGTATTTATAAAAAAGTACAAGTACAAAAAAGAGTGTTGATTTTTTAAGACTTCCAAAGTATGCCACACAGCAGTGGAATTCAGTTTAAGAAGCCAAACTTGAAAAAGGAATTTCTTCCAAAGTACTTTGATGAAGTTATCCATTACCAATCAAGGATAAAATTTTGAATATTTGAATATGGTGTCAATCAGCACTGAGTGGATAAGAACCTTTTAATTATGAATAAATTACAAAACATCTATCCTGGGACTACAGAACCAAAAAAAGCACTCTGGTTTGACCTGTTAGGAAGTTAACTGTCATTGGGAGGCTGAATCCCTTGCTCCCAGAAAACTCCTAACAGGAAGGGGGCTGGGTTGTTATTTTATGCCCCAGCCAGCAATGGCATAACTATTCTAGTGTTTGCTCATTTCTAATCCATGATTTTTACATAATAAATTCTTTCATAATCCTTTGTTATTCCTTTTGTATCATGTCTGTAGGACAACCAGCCTATAATCAGGGGCTCCTATCTTTTAATCTTTGTACAGTATTTAGAATCAGACAATTTTACGTATAAAATGATAATTTCTATACTGTACAAGAGATGCAAATAAGTTCTGAAATTTTAGTTACTTGAATTAGTTCGAGTGCTGCTGTAAAAGTAACATCCGGCCTTTTTTAGAACCTGATCACAATCATTGTTTTTAAAATGTAGGTGATTTTAAAAGAAACCCAGTTTGTGGTTGATCATACTGTTCTGTTTGGCTTGGCTTTGAAACTGAACACTGAATATATAGACTTTTTGAACTTCAAATTATATAAAAATAGTTATAAACTAAGTATTTTGTAGCAACTCAATTTGCTTGCTTTTGTGTTTCTAGTCATCTTGACAAGCCAAAAGAAAAGCAGTTTAGAAATGCCACACCCATTCGTTCATTTTTTCCTGGTGAGTCAGGACACGCAAAAGGCGCAGTTTGTGAGCAGTTTTTTTAAAAAAAGAACTGCGAAAACATTCTTGATGACAACTATTGGAACTATGCATTATGTATCCAAGACTTATAGAAGACAGCACAAGCTTTGTATTAAAACAAATCAAGCCCTCAATCTAATAGAATAACCTCTGGAAGAAATGAGCAATTGAAAGACGTATACAGTAATCCTACACTAGACTACTCAGAAGTACTTTGAGTTAAATAAGAATTAACTGAATTAAATTTCACTAATGCATTGCATCCCAGCCTTTTAGTTGAAGCCAAATCTCCGCATCAGTCAGGTTTGCAAAAAAAAATAATAAAGAAAGAAAGAAAAGAAAGAATTGTCTCCCTTCATACTATGCTTCTTCGATAACATTTCCTCTCCCCGACTCAGTTTGTCCCACTGACGCTGTTCTCTTCACTTTACAACCCGCCCAATTTTTACATAACCCACCTCCCGTGCCCTCGGTCACACTTAATATCCTTCTCAGTGAGCCACTGAGTACAGGGAACCACGTACCTCGGTGAAAGGATCCATCCTTTCAAGTATCCCCCGCCGCCAGCGTACCCGCTCGCTCCCTCTGCAACCAAGTGCTTCACTCACGCGTCCCAAATGATAACCGCTCGTCAGATTTGAATTTCAGCGCCTGCCACAGACAAGCTGCGCACCACGCATGCGCCTCACCCGCGAGCGGCTGCCGCTCCGCCCTTCCCAATTCCCAATTCCAATACGCCTTCACTCATGCGCATTTTCGCCCTCTAAATAGAAGGCTCTGCTGAACTCGGCGTTTTGGCAAGTTGCAGCTCTGCTGAACTGATGGTGCAGCAAAGCGACCATAGGAAAGTGAAGAGAATGATTGACATGATTTTTAGCCAGTGATTCACAAGCCACATTGCCTAGGTTGCGTCTTCGCATTTTATAGCCGCGCTGTCTCTTAGGGCGGGCGTTTGTCATGGGTCCTTATATGGTGGTGGTTCCTAATCTGCTTATGAAATTGGCGGACTCTTAAAAAAATGCCTTTGCGTGGAGTAGTTTTAGAACTTCAGTAGGAAATCCCAATTACATTCATGTATAAAGTTAGCGTTCCTTACGTTTTGTGATTTCGGTCAGACTTGGATGGAACAACCCGGACTAATGAGGAAGATGTTAGTTTTTCCTGTACCTGTTGAAAAGCAGGGAGGAACGTGGTAGTTCCGCTAACATTCTGAAATAAATGAGAATGGTGGCATTCCAACATTGGAGATCTTCGTCGGTTTTATACTTCGTGCTCAATGACAATGTGTTTTGCATGCTTTGACTGAGCGCAGTGTTGAACCTAGGCGTTATATACTATGATAGTTTAGGGCGTAGCAAAATGTATGAACCAAGACGCTGTGGCTGTGTTCAAATATGCCGGCCCATGGATTTTGGGGAACTACGCTTTATGATTAACATAACACAGCCTAGACCAAACTAACGAGTTCTGGCTTGGTGTGGTTTGTAAATCATCGTTTATTATTATGTGAAATATTAGATGGAGTATTGGATGAACCACGTGTAATTGTAGTTATTTAGTAAAGCCAGGGGTAAAATACTGTGTAAATACTGCCATTGTCTAGGCTCGTTTAATTATGTTGTCTTGAAGAGAAAGGAATATACATTTCGTATTTTCAACAGCACACCAGGTAAGAGATCTGTTTGTTTTCCCTGTGCTATTTAATTTGAAAATCACTGCTAGTTTTCCCAGTTCTTTGGGTTTTTTTATTCCTTGGATGAAAAGCAAGATTGACAGAAAATACTTTCATTTTCCTAATGTTTTAAATGTTCCTTTTATCCTTTGTTGTTCAGCCATACATTCATATTTACTGAAAGCAATAAATTACTTAGCTAGCATTATTAATCTGATTTTTCTCTTTATTCAAAGTATGAATGATTTATATAAATGCATACATCCAAAGAATGTGGCCAGAATAGGTCCCACACATTAATCATTTATCTTCCAGTTCGGTAACATTTATCCAGCCATTTATTTTCCAGTTCTGTAGCAAATGCTTCAAGTTTATTCAAGATCTAAATGGTTCCATTTGACCTTGCCTCTTCAGGGTACTGGAATCATTTAGGGATCTGAAGTTAGCATATTTAATTTTTATATAAATGTACATATAATTTTACATTGCATGTACTGTAGCATGTCCCAGAATGAAGATGTTCTAAAACAAAATATTTTTTAAATGATCCAGTAAAAAATATACTGGAGTACATTAAATAATTAGAGCAGTATCTCCTTTACTACTACTGGTGGGATCTTTTCTATATATTAGTAAAATAGTGCTTGTGCTGAATAATATCTTCCTAAGATGGGCAGGTTACCCCATCAACAAAAAAAAAGGATACAGTAGTGGATGTGCTTTGTTCATCCACTATGCAATAGTATCAATAAGTGTGACCTCTGTAATCACGCACATGCACCATCAATTTCTGTTTTTTTTTTTATGAGGTTTATAATTTGCCATCATGCTTATTTTGACCTATCATATTGACCATCCCAATTAAAAAGTGTTGGTACACAACAAGGAAAAAAACATACTTGACCTGATAAAGAAACAATGACAATAAATAATCAAGAGTACTGCATTCAGATGGACATCAACAATTGTGCTGTGAGCCAAAGGCTCTGCAGAACAAACTCAAAAAGGCCTGCCTTTTAGCCCACACACCTCATATGTGATGTGAGGGATGGATTCTTAGCAGGCCCACTCAATATTCAGTTTGGATGGGCATAATCACAGTTAACAAGCTGGTCCCCAATATGGCTCTGTGTTTTGCCATATAAGGTTTTGTAGGTGGTAACCAGCACTTTGAATTAGCCCAGGAAGCCACCTGGTAACCATTGCAGTAACCTCAGAACAGGTGAATTTCTGCAGAAGTAGGTTGCCTGTATTAATATAACAACAACATTCTGCACCAGCTTTAGCTTCCAAGCTATCTTCAAAGGTAGCATGTTGCAACTGTCAAACAGCTTTTTCTTTCCTAGCATTTCCATGAAAGACTGGAAACACAATTATGTAAAAAGCACAGAACCTCAATTTGAGATTAGAACCAGTTTACAATTATATCAAACTGATTAGTGAAATTGAAGGGCAGACTCCACCTAATTTACCACAGTTCTTCCTTTTTTTTACTTTTGATGCATCTTTGAATAAAATGCTTCACACCCCATAGTTTAATTTAATCTGAGTTTTCATTGGCCATCTTTAGAATTCCAAAAGAAAGGAGATGTTTTCTTAGCATATGTCAATTCTCACTGTGTTACTTTAACACAAACTTGCCAAACATTTGCCAAACACAATCCCGTGTTTTAGCATGGATTTAGTGAAAGCATATTATTGTTACTCAAGTGAAGATTTAAATTTAGTAGGATGATGTCACACTATGACATCATAGAAGCTCTAGCATAACGTTCTAGAAAAGCAGACAGTGTCAGTTACATGGCTGGAAACTTAGTTAATGAGTTTCAGTTAGGAGGGCTTATCAGCAACCTCACAGCTAACTGCTATAATGAGGACCCTGAGGCTGTTCCCAACAGTGACTTTCCACGTTGTGGTTTAATATTTCAGTATACGCAGTATAAAAAGAAAAGAGCAAAGGAACTTGTGTGTTCAAAATAATAGACTGAAAAACATTCTTCGTTATTGAACTTGGATGGAGAGAGGAGCAGGGAGGAATAGAATGTTATTCCTGCTGTCCTGGGCTTCATACAAACAAGGAAATACTGTATTTATATGAGAGGTTGTTATTTTCATTTAATGAAATAGTTTCATTGTGCTCAGGTAAGTCATATTTACTTCTAGATATCCTCTGGTAATCTTGTTTGAAGAGAGAAAATGTCTGCCCTAAATTGATACCTGAATTTGAATCTAGACAGAACAAAAAATGGTAGTTTTTTTTTTTTTAAGTGTTTGCAGTGAAAGCCTCTTTTCCCAGACAGAAATGCATTAAAACCAGGCTAAAAGCATTTTTAAAGAGCAGAGAATTCACAACTTAATCCAGGGTTGCATGCAGCCTTGAAAGTTTTGGCTTAGAGCCCTTGTAAAAGTTAGGGTAATTGTAATTTTTAATGTTGCTGAAGGGGACATTTATTACATACACAAGGAGTGATTATGCTAACTATTTTGAATGTAATCAAATAGAGTTTTTGTCCTAGATCTCCATTTTTTTGTCTTGACCTCACCTACTTTTTGAAATGTAGCCACTAGCATGCCACTTTATCAAGCTTGTTCTCATAAAGTGCTCCTGCTATAAAAGTTTAATAATGTAGTCCTCTACATTCAGAAGTCCTATTTACTTCAATAGGTCTTACAAGATGATGTTCATAGGTTGGTAGTCTAAAAGAAACAATATTTGTGTCCCTAGTCATGTGTGTCACTCAACTAAAATTTTCAAAAGTGTGGGGGTTCAATCTGTTGCTTAGTATTACTTCATAGTGAGCAATTCAGCCGTACATGTTAAAGAATTGGAAACCTGGTTTTATAGATACAAGTTTGGAGATGGCTATTTATTAATGTGTTTAAATTTAAAAGATATACTGTAGTTGAATGGATATAACAGTTTTCTTACAGTAAGGCACAACATAAAATAACATTTCCTTATAAGGTTCATAACACTCTCAACTGTTGAATAAGAATGATGACTTTCCAAACTGTAGTTTTCAAACAATGTTAGCCTTCAGAAATACAGAAGCCAAACCCTGGATCTCACTCTTTATTAACTGAGGAAAGATAATAAGAATTACATTTAAATGTATTAAAAAAAAACATTTACAGTTATTAATATGTGGCCAAGCGGTTTTAGATATAATACAAGCAATTTTGTAATGTTGTACAGTTTTTACTTTTGCTTGTGTTTTGCTATCAGAAAAATAGTAAGAATTCTAAATCAACATACCAGATTACAAAACTATGATTTCTAAACTACGTCTTTATATGCCACTATAAATATACCTACATATGTCAGTATAACTCCAAATAAATTTATTTGTCATAACTATTCAATATCACTGATTGAATGCCAGGAAAATAAAAATTGTGTTACCACACCTCTGTTCATACATGAATTTGCATGTGTACACAGGCATACACGGAGTAACAAAATTGATGCACTGCCCTCCAAGGAACAGGTATTTTCTTCTAAAGTGAAAAATAATGATCTCAAACCTGTATTTGGTCAGTAATTAGATCTTGATTGTGTTCTTTCTCTCGCACACAAGTTGAAGGGGACAGAACATATGGTTACTATACCTGTCCCTCTGCACGTGATGTGGCCCAGTATATTGTCCCCAGTAGTTGTAACAGAGGAAGACAGAGATTGGATAAAACGTTTACTAAATAGCACTGGGAAAAGTGCTACAGAAAAGATGCATAATCTGTGGCTCATGTATCCAAGGGGTGCTATCTGTCCCTAGAACTCCCAACCTACTTTACTAAACTTCAAAGCCTCCATCAAAGTTAGTCTTTTTGGACCATTTGCATTCTTGATGCTATCTCTGTACCTCATATTCTCTCCGCTTATTTGCCTGAAACCATTTTGATGTATTTTTCTGCTACTCTTCCATCTTACCTCCTTCCTGTTCTCACTGTACTTGCCAACTATATATTTTCTTCTTGATTCCCAGTGTCTGTCTTCACTACTGATAGGTAAGAAGGATGGGCTGGAAGACCACAATCAGTATTAAAAACGGAATTAAGAACACAGTTGTAATTTTGAGTTCCAGAACAAGGGTATAGGAACAGCTTCATTTTCAGATTGGTTACAGACAGGCAAAATCAGCATGCCAATTCTGGGAGTTGAAGTCCAGACAACTTAAAGTTGCCAAGGTTGAAAAACACTGGTATACAATAGGAGGCAAAAGTATGAAACTGCTTATAATACTATGTTACATTCAGATGCACTTCTGACAACAGGCTGTCAATGTGGTGGGAGAGACACCGAACAGGCTCCACCACCACGTTATTGTTAGCAATCTTTGCAGCTACAACATATAAAAATGAATTTTTAAAGTTGTTCCTGCACTTGTAGCACCTTCCAAAATCCTCTAAATTCTACATGGGCATCAATTTTCCTCTAATTAACCTATAACATATCAGTGCCCATTGGATGCAGAAAGACTTGGCAGAATGACACATACAGAACCAAATCTTGTACATTTTACCCATAATAACCCATAATAAACCTTTTTTTTTTTCTGGGTTTCACAGCAAATGGGTTTTTAGGCAATCTTTTGGTGGCTGTGAGCACCACTTACCATCTTCTTTGGAAAGGGGAAGCTGCTCTAAAGAAGCATAATGACATGAAGTGGACAAGGCCACTATGGGCATTGGGGTGTGGCTTGGAATTTTTAAATTTGGGGAATTAGATTGCTAAAAAAAACCAAAACTCTGCAACACCTATTCTAGACATTATATTGTTTCCCTCATCAAGATTATGTGAAATATATGCTGCTGATTTTCAGTAATTGTATTCACAGTCAGAGGGATTTCAGGAAGTTGCAAAAAAGGAATTTGGGGACCCCAAGCAGCCCAGCCTAGCTGGAAGCAAGTTAGACAACAAAATGAAAAGCAAAGGACACCAACCTTGATATGGGTATCAGGTACCAGGGTAAACGTTAGATTTCTAATCTTTTCCTCCAGGAGTTCAAGGCAGCATACAGTGGGGCAAAAAAGTATGTAGTCAGCCACCAATTGTGCAAGTTCTCCCACTTA